GTCTGTGTCCACCGTGGTAGCCAAAGAATGCTCCGGCACCAATCACTGTCAAGCAACGCTGTGCTGTCAGGAGCACTCGGTGCACTCGGCTGAGCACTTTATGGCTCCAAAGTCGCATGTGAGCAGCCCGCTTTTGATCGCGGTCGGAGATCGGCCATATGCTTTTCTTGCGCCCTCTCTTTGGGCGTTGTTGCCTAAACGTGTACAGTACATGGAGTGGAGGCCATTGAGTTGAAGTTTGACAAGACATCACTCAATATGATTGAAGCTTTGTTGATATTTGAGACATATTTTGGAACAGCCCGTCATTTAAGATATCCTTTATTTGACCCACACACATTTATTATCAGTTTGGGTTATTTAGCCACACCACAGAGTCAAAATATTAGGGAAACCTCTCAGTATGACAGTGCATTTCTACACCAATGTAAACTACATCACCAATAACTAACATACGCATTGCCTTTATTTCAGTGTGAGTTTAACCATTGTTCATTCCAACATGTCAATTTTATGACTATATAAACAATCTAAAACACTTGCATTTTTTTTTTAAATGAAGCAGATTGTTCAAGATTGACACTTACTCTTTGTCTTATTTTTTCTTTTTTCTTTTAGCATTATTATTATCATTGCCTCCTTAAAAAAAACGTATTCCTTACTGTGACGGCGTCATGGCAATTTAAATGTTTTGCATTCCTGGTCTCCAGACAATGAAGCTCGTTCGAAGAAAATCACCGCGTGCTACCTGGGTCAATGGACCTGGCCTGCGTGTTTGTTTTGTACATATATTCTGTATTTATGAAGAAATACAAATCGATGCCAGGCATTAACATGATCCAAGGATTATACAGTAGCTTTTAACCAAATAGAAAACCTGGGAAACAGTCTACTCACCACCAGAGGGAGCCAGAGGCCATCTCATGAATGTTTACACAGCGGTAATCGCTTCTCAGCATGAATAAATCCTCACAAGAACTGTTATTAAAAACAAAACTAACAAACAAACAAAAAAAAAACAGCAATCAACTTCGTATGTATTTTTGTGGGGGGTAAGTTAGGATGAAACCGCAAAATTCAATTCAGACCTCTCTGCTGTTGGGCAGATGTTCTAAAGCCACTCGACCTTGCTGTCTCAAAAATATTCAACCCCAAAATGTTTCTAAGATCACCCTCAGAGGACGGGGGAAAGATTCCCCCACCTGGGCAAAACGGTGTGCTCGTGTTTACAACGTCAGCCTCACAGTTCTGAGGTTCATCGTTCGAATCTCAACTGGGCTTTCCTGAGTAGGGTTTTTGTGATCTTGCGTGGGTTTTCTTCCACGTTCCCGAAACATGCATGGTAGAGTTATTGAAGTCTCTAAATTCTCCATAAAGTGGATGGGTGGGGAAGACTTTTCCAATGCAGCAGTCGTGCATGGTGTCCCCCCCTCAATCAACAGGGGGCAGTATGGCTACACAAAAGACAAGCCATTGTAACCATTTATCCAGAGGAAACGATTATGTAATAATCAAATTAACTTGGGAGCCGAGCAAAAAGTCACCAAGGAATTGGTGGCGGCTCAATATTTCCCAGTGTCTAACTTCTGCAATTCAAGCGTTTTATTATTAAAACCTACATTGACGCAATCATTTTCGCTCTGATGCGGATTTTCACCATCAATATATATTTATTTGAGTGAATCCACTTTCAATGATGTACGCGTGATATTTGCTTTACAACATATTGCAGTACGATTCTCATCATCAGCATGAGTGTGAAGTTGCTACTTAGAAAGCTCATAAAAAACGTTTCCACTCAAGTCTCCTCTAGTGAACAATTCAAAGTGATCTGCGTTGACTTTGAGCGTGAAACGAATTAAAATGAAAGCACCCGCTGCGTCATCATCATTAGCGCCGGGCTAACTGTCCAACATTGTACATCTCGTATTTAAACGCTGTTTAATTTAGATAACGGAGTGCCTTCAAAGCTCCTGCTGGGAATGAGTTTTCAATGCAACTGGGTTGGAATATGTTTCTCATTTGGACGAGAAACTTTCTCGTTAGGATGAGAAATGTCTTTACCCATGAGCGTTAGCTGATCTAAACAAGACTTCCAAACGTTTTAAATGTCTGCAGAACGGCGACGACTTGCAAGTAAAGCAGCAATGTCCTTATAATAAAGTCCCAGGTGAAAATATTACAAAACTAGGTCCCGCACTGTCATTTTCATTCAGATATGCAAACCGAAATGTCTCCCGTGCACACATACTGCGTTCGCATTCTAACGAGAAACTCTGTCGTCCTAACAAGAAAACTTTCTCACCCGAACACGAAACTTTCTTGTTAGGACTAGAAACTTTCTTGTCCAAATGGGAAACATATTTCATTTCACCTAGGGACACATAAAGCCACCTCGGAATCAAATTCGATGTTGACCAGTGTAATCGAGAAGCAGGCATACGAATTGGAGACTGTATTTCTTCCGAAGTCAGCAAACTCACAACGTCAGCGGGGGATCGCAGAATTATGTACTCTACGCTGTATATAGCATGCTACTATTTTTTTTTTAATGACCATGCACCTACTGGTTGAAGTTCACTTTCATGCCCAAATTATGCGTGCTGTCACGTTGCCAGAGGAACGCAAATCAAGCATCGCCCTTTTCACAGGGAGCCGCACGCTCACTTGAGAAAGACAGAAAGTCACACGTGCGCATAAAAATAAAAGGGAGGCCACCTGTGCCTTGGAGGTATGAAGCTGTGTCAGAGATATGAGCGGCTGGTTTGTTCAGACCGCTTTCTAATGAGACTTTGCGCTGCCACCGTTGCTCCTCATCTCAACGGCAAGCCCAACAACACCTGTCCTCCCGCCTGCGAGCTTTTTCCGCCCTAATGAGCATGCACGCATGCACACGTACATACACACCCTTACCGTTTCTACTTTATTTACTCGGACAGTATTTTTTTTTCCCCCATTGCAAAATCATGTGCACACACACGCACACAAAAGACAAAAAGCTAATTAATTTTTTAAAGTGAGTTTACAGGATGCTATCATGCAACACCAATTGCCTCATTTTTTTCTCATCCTTTGCGTTTTTCGTGTCGTGATGCGCAACGTGCACTCCGCACTGTACACGTGACACGCATGCACGCAATATACACGAAGCCATCATATTGCTGCATGAATCTCATAAACGTGTG